AGAGAGAGAGAGCGAGCGAGAGATTGTGCATCACTTCTTCTGTCCATGGAGATCGCCACAAACAAAGGCAGGCTGGTCCCGGTTGGTCCCGGCTGGTCTGTCGAAAGCCGTTCGTGCAGTCGAAATCGGAATTCATCCCGGTCGCCCTGCAGCGGCCACGGCCAGGTCCTGGACTGCGGCGGCCGCCTCACACAAGGAACCGACATCACCCTTGCTGCTCTTATATTCCTGCCAATGCCACCACCACTGCAAACTCACTGCTCCAACTCCGACTGCGACTGGACCTGGTCTAAACTAAGTGGCTTTAACAAATTAACCGGCAGCCTGCTTGAATTCTGATTCAATCCCGTTGAGACTGACATCATGTTTCAGCCGCGGACCAGCGAAAACTACGGCAGTCTCGCATAGAAACGAAATGAGTCCTTCACACCGGATCAAAGCCATTCTTGGGAATTCTCAAACGTCAAAACCTCCCTGCTGTGCCGAACCGGGCTGCATCGCCAAAGTAACTTTGCAGACCTTTGCAGATGAGGTGGCTAAACTGGGAGCTTTCACAGACGCCCAACTGCAGAAAGCCGGTTTCAGAAATCAAGTGCTCTTTCCTTCAACCCCCTTGTTGAGACAGTCAGAGGTACAGCTGCGGTAGCTCGCCAGTGAGCCGCGCTGGAGGACGAAAGGCATCCTGGAGGTTCAAGGCATCCATGCAAAGCTGGTTCGTTGTTCCGGCTTTGGGCTCAGCCGCTCCCCGTCCTGGCCGGCGACATGGAAAAGAGGTCCACGAAGCCTTGGCTCAGGAAGTCCATCTCCGCGTGCACGGCCAAAGCTTCGACCTCTGTCAAGCAGAAGGGCATCGCCTGTCGCACGAACTCCTCCGGTGTGACCTGCAGTCTTCAAACTGCAGACATCATCTTTTCATGTCGAGAGCTACCTCCTCCGTTTGACCCTGACGCCCTTCGTTTGGACGAGGTGCCCGCAGGTTCCCGTCCGTGTCAGCATCCAAGAGGGTCTGGTTGAGATCGCCGAGCTCGGGCTTCACCAACTCGCGGTAGTCGCAAAGAGCCAAGGGGCCACGAATGAGACGCAAAGTGTCCACGGTGAGGTAGCCCAGCTGGCCAGAGTCCAAAACCTCAAAGAGGTCCCGTGCGTTTGCCGAGGTCACCCGCTTCCTCAACAAGCCTGCTGCCCATTCCTGTTGGCTGATCTGGCCGTCTTGACTTGTGTCCAGAAAGGCCAACACGTCCTCCACTGTCGGGTGGTCCTCACGGGTAACAGGCTACACATGGTGCAATTAGAACCTTTGGTCAAGACCCGGATGTCCGCACGCAGGAGGATGCGCAGGCTGGGGAGTGTCAGGTCATAGCTTATGGCATCCAGCTGGCGCTCCGTCAGACGCAACACAGTTGGAGCCTGGACAAAATACACTCAAGGCACAACCAGCTTTACGTCCTTCCCTCCCTTTACTCTTTCCCCACGCCCTTCTTCCATCTGTTTTCCTGAGCATTAGTCTTGACTACTTCTGTAAGAGTCTACATTTATGCGTGTGTGCCTTCCTTGTCCTTTGCTTCTTGAACAGAATATGAGAATGCGCAAGGCTTGTTGATGCTGGTCCCAAGCCGAACAACATCATGTCAGGTCTAAACCATCCCCGCAACCCAGCCGCTTCAATCAAGCTTCCCATCAGTCAGAGTGTCCTCACGGCCTCCCTCCTGCCTCTCTCCTCCCGGCCGCCATCACTCCCGTCCCTTGCCTGACAAAGGGAAGCCAAGACATCGTCTGCGTTCTCAGCGGTGAGGCCCAAGGTCCGTGTCACGAAGCGTTTGAACTCCTCGTTCGTGACTATCCCACTTCCGTCCGAGTCCATGTTGCTGACCTCGGCACACCACCCAGAGTCGGCCTGAAGAAGCCCCGCAGCCCCACGTGGGGAACTGAGTCCCGGGCCACCGCCTCCTTTGTGCCAAAGAGTGACTGCAGGAATCCGCGGAAGCCGACCAACGAGACACCCTCCACACTTCCGAACCCTTGGTTGGAGAGGAGAGATGCTCCGGACTCCGAGCCGCAGGCAAAGCATTCTCAACACCTTCGGCCCACAACCCCAAAATCGCAGCCTATCTCCCCGGTTCGGGAATACTTGTACCAAGCTTCCCAGGGCTACATAGCGCTCGAGGAGGACGTAGCCTTGAAAGAAGACGTCAATGTGCCTCTCAAGCATGCAACTGCAGGATTGCCAGTGGCTGAAGCACTCGGCGGTTGTTAAGCATAACCAAGGCCAGGATGGCCTCCAGCTGAGCTCACCCATCACGGCATCAAGACCATAGTCCTGATGTCGCATATCCATCACGATTTTCCCGACACCTCTCTGCCTCCACGACCCCTACAGACTTTCCTGTACTTTCCAGCTCTAGGATCGAATAAAATTATCTGCAACGTCTTGTCGGCAAAGCTGGTCCTGCAACAGAAAGCCTACGAACTCCTCCTCCGTGACTCGGTCATCTCCGTTTGGATTCGATGCATTCCAGGCATCATCTACCAGTATGAAACGCACCTGAGCCCAGAGCTGGGTTTCGGACTCACACCAGGCCAAGGCCAAGGCCATTTAGCTGGTAAAAGAAGTAGCAGCAGCAGTCGCAGTCGTCGTCGTCGTCAGTGGTCGCGGTTGTATTGTTGGAGGAGGTGGAGCAAGAGGAGGAGGAGAAGGAGGAGGAGGGGGAGGAGGGGGAGGAGGAGGAGGAGGCAGCAGTAAGCAGCCATGCAAGCGGTGGTCGCAGTGGTGGCAGTAGTAGGAGGAGGACAGGAGGACAGGAGGACAGGAGCAGGAGCAGAAAGCGGCGGCAGTGGCACTTTGATAGTGTGACGAAGGATAGCAACACTCGCCATACTAAGGGCTCGGAGAAGGCGCCTGCATCAAGGCGCGAAGAGTCTGCAGGTCATCCTGCCCCATCAGAAGGAGGTAGTGATTGCCTTAAGTCGCGGGCTGAATAGGGTTCCGAACCTGCGAGAATGCGAGCAGGACATCCAGCCCAAGCCACTATCCAGCTGGCTCTGGCCAAGGCGGGCCACTGAATCCCAAATAGCTTCAGCATTCACCTGATTTACTTCGTTTTGAGGCTGTCAGACGGTCAACATGCCCAAATCGACACTGCACGGGACACTGGCTACGAGTAGATGCCTGTGGCGGCGAAAGCAAAGTCAAAACAGGGTGCGGCCCAAGGCTCGGTCGTCAACTCTGCCACAGAGACGACTTGGCCGACGAATTCCTCCTTGGACCTCCAGGTAAACAGCTTCCACAGGCTCCACAACTGCACTTACCGGCACAACGCAGAACAAATTGATGTGTCATGCTCATGATCTGCAAAAACGATGAGACCGTTCATCGAACGCAGTCGGACGAAATGCCGCTACCACATTTATCGTGGCATGCACAGTGCCGCTCTCGGCCCAACTGAGCTTTGTACACAGAGGGGTTGCCGTCCAGACTTGCACCCGCAAGCATCTGTGCCTGGCGTAGAGTGGAGATGGGCCATGGGGCATGCCATGGGCATGCAATGACAGGTGTATGAACTGCTGCAACCCGTCTTTTGCCCAGGCTGCTGGTGTAAGAAACACGGAGGCCATGAGCGTGCGGAGCTCGGTGATGCTCACTTCCGGCTCCTTCGGCTTTCAATGCTTTTATTGGTCTATAGTCTATGAATGTCTATAACATTCTATAATCATCTGGTCGAGAGAATATGGGCATCAGCTTGATTCTGTACGTGCTGCATGCACGTACGTTCGTTCGCAAAAGAACTCTGGGGCAAGGCCGTTTCAAGGGAGGGCTGCTCGGCTACTCAACAGAAAAGCAAGCAGCCCCCGGGCTCCAAGACTCTGTACTGATCCAAGGTGATGTACCTCCAGGTGGAAGGAAGGACAAACTGCCCAAGACACTTACGAGCGAACACCTGCTAAGTGTGCTTAAAATGCCACTGTTAACTTGCAGGCCAAGCACTGTTGGGTTAAGGTTGTGCCCGGCCGGAGCTGGATCTGTTGGTAGAGAACCTGCAAACACCGGCCCGTCGATGCAAAGTTGCACATGGAATTATCAGAGTTTGGACGATGCTAGAAGCAGGACTGTGTAAAGACTGCATGCAAATCGAAGCTTTCGGCGACCTCCGCGTCTGCAGATCGTGTGACTCCAATCGCAGCAGCTTGAACCAGAAACTCTTCCTCCTCGGCATTGGATAGACCAAAATCAACACTCAAGACCACTTAGGCTTTGGAGCGTGACATCTGCGGCCTACCTGTTGTGGGAAGCTGCATGTTAAGCAAACAAGCGCGGAAGCGCTTCCTGATGTCTTGCGCCAAGCTTCTGACACCAGGCCATCCCTGTTGGTATCGGCCTCCTGATAGGCCAGCTGTGACACGCCTTCCCCCTCACCGAAGCTCGCCAGAAAGAGAGCGCGGTAGCGAACCAAGTTCAGCGAGCCCAGGTTCGACTCGCAGGAGGGCGCCGAACCCGAGAACTGCCCATCCCCGCGGCAAAGCAGCTCGGTGGGCCCCACGCGGAGGTACCCCGGGCTGCAGGAGAAGGTGACCACGTCGCCAAACACAAAGGTTCCAGACTCTCCACCCGTACGAAAGCCAAAGTCTGGAATGCCTGTCGTTGCGAGCGGATTGCAAGGAAAATCGCCAACAGCACAAAGCACAGCTTCTTCTGAGGAGCAGTCTCACACACTCCGAGGCCTGGGTCCGGGCACGAGACGATTTGGCACGTCGGTACAGGAGGCGCAAAGGCACTGGTCTCACTGATCACATTGCCGAAAGAATCGTAGTCCATCTGGCAGATGGACTGGGCTGAGCCGACCAGTTCATACCCGAACTGGCAAGAAAAGATCAACACGGCACCTCAGACTCATCGGATCACTACCGTGGAAGGCTGCTGCAAGCAGCAGTTCATGCTGGATTCACAAAGCTGGGTGCAGTAGCGACACCTTCGGACAGGTCCTCGCCACTCCGGGCTCCATTTAGCGGGATACCGGGGTCTGGGCAGACGGCGAGGTAGGTGAAGCCACCGATGCTGATGGCCTCGACACTGCAGCCGAAGGCTGGACACTGCTAGATTCTGCTAGATGACTGCTTGCTGGCCTCGTTTTGATTCTCGGCCAGCACCACCACATCCACGGCACCCCGAACCTCGCTTTCCGGTGTCAGGGCAACCACGAAGTTGCTCGTTGCAGAACCACCAACGATGAGCCCCTCGGTGCCGCCAAAGAAAACCTGCCATCCAGCAAGGACTAAAGACAATTTACTGAACATGATCCAGCCCTGCCCGTAAGGCTTCCCATTCCCAGCCCGACCGCCACAATCGTCGCATCTAGGTCCGTAGTCTCGATGGTGACACGTGTGCCGCCAGCCATCTCCCCCTGCTGCGGGTTCAGGTTGCTGATGTCGCCCGCCCTGTAGTAGCTGTAGACGTTGCCTGGCAGAGCACTGGATTCAGCATGCTGCAAGCACACTGTAGCACAATCCGACCATTGCATGGCCGGGGAACTTCCCGTGGCCACATTGCCGTTGGAAGCCGTCACTGTCACCTTTGCTGAAGCAGGGCTGGAAGACCGCATCACGCCAATTTGGTGTTCGATGGGCATCTTCGAAGGCAAGCGACTCACAGACTCATCTCCACACAGCTGCAAACGTCAAAAACACTTTCGAATTCAAACTTCAAACAGGCTGTATTTGCGCATCGTCACCGTAACGAGGCCCGACACCGCCGTGGCAGGAACTTCGACGATGGCCCGGATCCCGGGCATACGGCCTGAGATCATGCTCAGAAACGTTCACTTGAAAGGGGTTGGGATGTTCCAAAACACTACCGTTAAGAGTGTTTTGATTTTGGCTGTCGGCGCTGTTTGGCTTTTCAGGGGTGTTCGGGCCGAAACAGAAAAAAAAAAAACATGCGTGGCCTCTCCCACAGCAAAAGCAGAAAACATCCCACAACAACAACAACAACAACAACAAAACATCGGCCACCGCCAGCGCGCTTTTTGCTGCATGTGCAGGGCGTGTGTGCTTTTTTGCTGTTGGTGCTGTGGCGGGGGTGGTGCTTTTCCTGTTGGTGCGGTACAGGGGGTTTGCTCTTTAGTTGTGGGTATGGGAGGGGTGTCTGCTGTTTTGCTGTTGGTGCAGGGTGTGTGTTTGTTTTCGCTGTTTGGGCCCGAACTGACCGTTCACTCACTTACCGGTTTGCCGGGCTTCAGCTGCAGAGCATAACAGCAAAGCACCAACAGCACCAAAAAAAGAAGACGACAACTTCCAAGACAATACCAAAGGTCTTGGAAGGGGTTGCTGGAGGGAGGGAGCACGTTTATGAGTTCTTTTCTGCCAAAGGTTCCGTCTGCAAGAACCGATGGCGAGTCGATGAACCCGAAGGTGACGCGCACGATGGGTGCGCCCAGATCTGAGACGTAGATCGTCACCTGGAAGGATGTTCTACACACTTGCGCTTCAATTCTGAAAATCGAAATTCGAAAGAAACCAAGACCTGTGCTTCTACATTTACCCAAGGCCTTGCCAAGGCACGATGTCACCTCCCACGGTTGGCCCGAACGTGTCAGAAATGTTGATGAAGCCACCCCGCACGAAGCGGTTGAATATGTCCACCTGCAAATGCACATGTGAAGCGTGCAGCCGCCTCCCGCAAAAGAACGCTTCCATTTTCCGAACGCACAAAGTGAGCCCAATCTGCACCTAGAGGCCTCGAGGACCATCAGCGGCTGCTTGCCACAAGCACTGCTTAAAGAGAACATAAATAAGGACCTTCTAGAATCTGAAGCCTTCCCGAAGTACAAGGGACGTATCACCAGGGCAAGCCGCTGATGTCGCCCAGAGACCATTCGCTGTAAACGCCGTGACCTGCATTGCCAAGGAAGGCCAATCGGAGGGAAACTCTGGCCAAGCTCCAGGTCTGTGACTGCACACTTGGTAAGCTGGTTTGTTCGAGTGGCATTCCGGAGTTCTGCACTGGTTCTGCACCTACTTTCCGTGATTATCAAGGTCCTGAGACAAAACTACGTAACCGACTCTGGCAGTTCCGAGCCCTGCCGTCTCCAGACCCGGTGAGAAGGCCGCAGGCATCAGGCACTGGACAGCAGTCGTCTCCTTGCAGAAAGAAGTTCATTCATTGAGGCTTCGAGGGCGGGCGGGCTCCAAAAAGCAAAAACGACGTGGGAGACTCGCTAGGAGCAGCCCGCGCCTGGCCGAAGACGGGGCTGGGAGACAGACAGGGCCGCCTCGGGCGCAGAGGCCGCAGAGGCCGCAGAGGAGCGGCGCAGCGAAGACCACGCTTGCTTTTCCAGATGGTGAAAGGCAGAGAGGGCTACGTCACTACACGTCACTAGGATCCGAGGCACTCCAGTCCCTGGGAGATGAAGGTCACGTTGATGATCGGAGCGCCCCTGACAGGAAGTGGACGATGTGGAAGTGTGACCGGGCTGGACCATGCTGGACCCGTCTCTGCGCTTCCACGCTTAGCTTCTCGTTGTAGGTAGAATCGATGTAGAGTTACCAGTCTCTCCTCTTGCGATTCCCAGGCCGAGGCACAGGTCCGTGATTTCCAGAAACACAGACACCTGTCCAGCTGGGGCTGAAGCCACCGAGGCACTGTAAGCGATCAAAGGGACGCTCTTGGCTTAAAAATGAGTTGGTGCAGTAGCTCCAGGCTCAGGGGATCGGCCTGCCCTGCGAGATCCCAGCCGCTGGGGTCCTCAGCGGTCAGAGGCCAGGACTCCTCTACATTAGCTTCCGAGGTGATTTTCATGATGTGGTAGTATGCTTCGTTCTCGGTGACTTTGTGTGTACTTTCTCCTTTTTCACACGACAACCGGAACACGGATTGAATCCACGGGTGTCTTCTCAAAACTGCCCAGCAGGATAAAGTAGCTCAGCCCCTAGTCATGTTGCTACAATACGGAAGACAGCGTCTTCACGCGACACCGCTTTCAAACCCGGTGCAGGGAGTAGCAACTCTTCTCTCCATTGCGCCTCTGTGGCTTGTTTTCAAGACTACTTAGACTACTTTGTGTGTTTACACTTTACACTTCGGAATGCCTTGTTCAGATAGTCGAGGAGCCATCCGTCGCACTTTTCCAATGACAGCGACAGTGCCTGCCCATTTGGAAAAGGCCCAATCCTGGCGTGAACAAGCGGCAAGACTGACGATGGCTGTACTGAGCACAGGAGGATGTGTCCTGGCTGCAGTCATCGGCACCTGGCGCTGCATTCTCCCAAGACGAATACTGGCAGCACAGTTCCAGCCGGCACAATTCCAGGGGGGTTGTCACCTTCCCTTCTATGCTGACCGCTTGTGAAGCCGTTTGATTCATCCCGAGCCACCAAGGCAGTAGCAGACTTGGAAAGGTCCCGAGGCGGTCGGGTAGCCGAGATCGAAGGTGGCCCAGCTCCCATCCTGCGAACTGGAAGCCCCAGTTTGAAGCAGAGAAGACCTTCAGCCATGGCGCTGCTGCCACAGTCGTTGCAGCCGCTCGCGGCTGCAGGAAGGATGACCCGGGGCTCGCCTGGGCCGTCCTGGCACAGCTTGAGGCTTGCGCACCCTCTGCAGACAAATCTTTTGTGCGCAGGCCTGCAAGGCTGTCGTCCCGGCACCACTTGGATGTAGTCGCCTTGCGAAGGTCAAAACCTAGCATGTCATCCATGCGTACCTGTCTAGACATGTGGCAGGGTGTAGCAGAGCAGCGGCTGCAACTGATGTTGCTGAACAAAACAACAGGAGACACACCCAGTTCAATCACAGTTGCTGCTTCGCATCTGCTGGCCACTGACGTTCAGCACCTGACCCGTGCGCTAATCGGACTGTCAACATCTGACACCCGAAAGCCAATGCTGGTGGAAAAACGTGGAGGCGAGTCCAGCTAAGCTCTGGACACAGGAGACATTCGAACTGTTCTGCAGTGTCACGCGCGAGGCACCATCGACGCCGACCAAGGCTCCGGTAAGATCAACTCCCATGTTGCAGAAGAAGCCTCCGTGGATAGCATCACAGCTTCAGTCGCGATCCAATCCAAGCTGGGCCGAGTCGCCAAGCTCCCCTCTGGCTGTAGGGCCCCTCCAGAACTCGCAGCCATCCAGGCAGGCAGATTGGAGATTTCTGTCCGCTGAGCAGCTTGGAGCCCAAGCCTCGGCGGAAGACTATGAAAAAAAAACAAGCCGCGCACTCCGCGACGTGTTCGCACCGGTTCTTGCAAGGCAAGCGTCCTCGCAGCCAGACGCGTTGACTCGGACCAATTGCTGAACCTGTCCGGACTTGGAAAAGCCCCGTGAATCACCGCGAATTTCCAAGTTCAAAAACAGCCGGGGACAGGTCAAGATCGAACCTCGATGGCATCTGCCTGTTTCCTTGCCTACAGTCTTTGGTGCACGAAGACCTGCGGGCACTACGACCAAATGCACCGGCCCTCAAACAAGGCCGCAGCACCCATAGCGGCCATTCGAAGTTTAGCAAGGCCGCATCTCCGGTGGCTGGTGGCAGCTCCTGGGCCAGGGAGGCTTTCAACGAGACCCTCCGGCAAGACTTGGGCTGCTGCCATCGAAGACATGCTCAAGTTCTCATTCCATGTGAGTCAGGATCTTCGCCGTCGGACTCTGGACAGCGGGGTTCTTTGAAGAGATATTTTGGGAGAAGGGTCTGTTTCCCGCGACTGTTAAATAACGCTACCACCGTCTGCAGGCACCTCTACAGCCATCCCGTTCTCTGCAATCGTCCGTCGAGCAAGCAGACCGCAGCCCGCGTAGCCTGCTTACAGCAGAAAAGAGACTGAGACTGCAGCCAGAAGGATCAGAAGGTGCCGCGAGCAAGCTCGGACAACCTGAACTCCTGGTTTCAACCATCTGCAAGCAGAGGGCAATAGCTGCGTGCGCACAGCTCATCAAGCTCGCCATCCTCGCCTGGAGCGGGTACGCAGATTTTGGTGGTCACTGGCCGTTGTTGACTCGATCACCATCCCTGTCAGCCGTACCCTCTGTCGAGTGCTGCCACCTGGCCTGTGGAGTTGCTTTCGGCATCCGGGTCCTTGAACAATCACTGGCAAGGCAACGATCAACATGGAATCAGAGCCTCTGCAAATGTGCTCCAACCAGGCCCAAGCCGTTCCCTACAGCCGAGAAACCACAGCCAGCCGCACAGGACCTCGCAAGGCGAGGCCCCAGGCTGCGCCGAAGTTCCTGGGTTCAGACCAAGTTTTTGAAACAGCGGCCCTAGCGGCCTCGACCGAAGCGGAGCCCAGCCACCAAAGCCTGACTCACCTGCAGCACAGCGTCCCTGCAAGACCAAGTCGTAGGAAGCGCGCCACGGCACCGTCAGGGATCTGCGCTGGATTGTTGAAGGGGAAGCTTCGGGCCGGGTTGAGGGAATGTGGCACCCAGCCACCCATGGCAACGGTGAGCAGCCGTGAGGGGCCATGCCTCCACAGTCACGAGTGTTGACTCCAAGGATGGAACGCCTCAGAACGACAAGAGCCAAATGCTGCCCTTGAACCCTCCAACTTCGCATCCAAGCGGCCAAACTCGACAAGGTCCTCCCACGGGCCCAGGGCATCGTGGGCAGATTGCAGCCATGCCTCTGCGCTCCAAACCCAGCATCTGACAGTCTGAGAATGCAAGTGTTGATCCCTTGGTACCGCCGGCCTCCCTTGGGTTCTCCGCCGTACCCCACAGCGGCAGCATGAGGCGTCTCGGTCGCGAGGCCTCGCCCAAGTCCAGAACCAGCCACTGGTCCTGGCTGGGCGGCGGAGACTACCCACCACTACCCACCAGGCTCCCCAAACTTGGGAGCCAATGCTCCTGGATCGCGTTGAAGGACGAGCGCCACTGTCCCCCGCTCCGCAAGCCCAGGTTTGCGGCAGCAAAGCTGCTGTTGTCATACTGCGATGAGAAGTCGACGACCTTGTCTCAGAAAAAGACCCTACAGATCAGAAACAGCAGACCTTGTCCAGGATCTACGCTGGCCGAGTTTGTTGGCTTGCGCCCTTCAAGTTGAATCCGTCCGCTTGCGCCCTCCATTTGCCGAGGTGCGCCAGGGATCACCAGGCGGGATCGCTTCTCTCTGCAGGCTTCCGGATACTTGTCGTGGCAACGCTGCCAGCAAAGGCGCACCTCCAAGTAGCGGCTCCATGAGACTCCGCAAACAGCGACTTGGAGATTTCAGACTTTCTTCCGCATAGCTTCTGACGATGTTACCGTTCCCTGAAACACGGACTTCTGAGCTCAGCCGCGCAGCCTGCCTCGGATGTGTGGTTCAAAACCTTGGACAAGCACAATACAAGCCGGTGCGAAGCTACTTGTAGAGTTTGGGTATGTTTGGGTCCTCCTATGCCCAAAGATTCGAGATCGACTTCAGACAAAGCAGACAGGATATCCATCATGAATCTTGCACCCTGTCGTGTCGATGCTGTCACGGACGCAACCCACTCGACGGCTGCATCTGGTAAGCACACCACGACGAGGCGTCCCAGAGGTAAGTTGAAGTCGTTCCTCCAAGCCCACGCAGCTTTCAGAGCACATGCTACAAAAGCAATATTAGCGAAGCAGTCCTTGATTGGTGGCAGTTCGGGTTGTTTCTCGCGCATGTCAGCTCACCTCGGGAATCTTGCTCACGAAGAGCCGACAGACAACAAATGACTTCCATCTCCCACCTCCCTCCAGCGTCGCTGCAGGGGTGCTGAGCACCGTTCCGGAACCTTGCCCAGTGACCTGCCAAGCTGACAAGTTCCTTGAACCCATGATTGCCACTGAGCCAGTTGTCAGGCACGGCTGCCTGTGTAGTGCCAGCGATGCTGGCCGCAGTCGCTGCCACGCAGTTCGGATTCTGTTGTGGGCACCAGCACCTGCGCCAAACTGCACAGCAACACAAGCAATCTAGTGAAGCCCTCGAAGCTTTCGCCCAGGCGCAGCCCGTAAACGTGGCCTCCAACCTAGCCATCGGCAGCTAACAGTTGCGACGACATGTCACCCAGGTGCTGCCGTCGAGGCGCGGCATATGGTCTGGGAACCTCCCAAGTGTCGCCCCAGGTCTGCAACTCCAGGTTGAAGACCTGGGCACACAGACGATGCCCTGCAGTCTGCAGCTTTCTAACCTGTTTTGTGTGTGAGAGTGCGCCAGGAAACACCTACGCCTCCGAGTGCCACCAAACTACGTCCACCGTGCTCGGCAGGTCCGCGCCGAAGAAGAAATGGCTACCGTTGCTCGTGCTTGGCAAGGACAGGCTGTTCCCGGGCCTCAGCAAAGGCCGACCAAATCCAGGAACATCCTGGCGCCCTGCACTACAAACGCTCTCTTGTGCCGGAGAACCATCCCGGTACAGGCAGACCATCGGCACAGGAGAAGCGGTCCAGGACCAGCAACCTACAAGTACGAGCAATGTCTGCGAGCTGGGGAGGTGCTAAAGGACTTCACGCGGACAAGCGGCAGAACGAGTGCTAGCTGTAAATTGCAAAACGACGGGAAGGTACAAAATGTAAATATATCTTCCGAGAAAAAACAAAAAGCTAGCTGCATGGTTTCAACCAGGGTCGTATGGGCACGCTGCGGACAGCCAGACAGAACGAGTCTTTCCCACTTGTCTTACATACCACACAACTCATAGCGATCCGAAATATCTGGTACAGCACGCCTGTCGCCCTCTGTCAGGTCTTCGCCAAAGACGTCCGAAATGTTGCACTCGGAGGTGAAGTTTGGCCTTTGACAGAAGTTTTGGCTGGAGCAGCAAACACCCGATATCTTCCCAAGCGCAATGCGTTGGGGGTGGACGGCCATAGCCGAAGCCCAGCCAACCTGCCCGCTCAGCACAAACATGTGGGGGGGTGCGATGCAACCGCATTGTTCGTCAAGTCGTGGTGGCTTTGGCTTTCGGGCATATTGAGAAGTCCTGCGATGGGCCTTGCAGGCTATGGAAAGCAAGCTCGAAGCTTGCGATTGATCCTGGAGGGCTATCTTCGGCTGTGCCGCCCACCTGCCTGCTTCACTGTACTTGCCGAAGTCAGCACCGCCGCTCGGCAGAATCTCCACACTGCTGCCGAAGCCAGGATGGAATGCACTGATGGCAGCTTCCACTACACAGATCCAAGAGTAAGTCTCATGAGGCACAAGGCCGGGGCCACGGATTCTCAGGTGCCCTGCTTCCAGGCCGAATTGCTCCGATACCTGGCATCCTAATCCAGTGGCATCCGCCCCGCACCAACACAGTCGGAAGAGGCCCCCGGAGGCTGTGATGTACTGGCCTGCGCCGTCTCCCCACGTAAAGTTGGCGATGCGGCCCGCTGGAACCGTCAAGTTGACCGCTGCCGTTTCGGAGGTAGGCAAGGTGGCACCAGATCCCAAGCCAGCCGGTGGCGTGCCAGACCCACAGCTTGAAGCTGTCAGATTCCAAATCGACGAAGCCCGCTCGTACAAGGAAAGCCCGGAGCCGCGAACTTCGGACAAAGCCATCAGCCGGTCACCCGCCGCCAGACCGACACCAAGGATGCCGGGCACGTCGCATGGCAAGCTTGCTCTGCACTCCGCATAATGGCCTCGAAGGGGACCCACATACTTGCTGACCCAAGACCGCACCTGCAAGTCCTCCCAGCCCAAGGTGTGGCCCGTTTGGCTGTCGACTATCTCCCACGGAATCGGTATCAAGGCTGACGCCCCGATTTCATTCTCCCACGAAGCTTCGGCCTCCCGCACTCTCAACGTCCATCCTCCTAGCCGCCCCCTGGAAGAGCTGCCCACTGCGAGGGCATTTGCCGAGGAGAGAGCGTACCAGGTGGCAATGCTGTAGCGGCAAAGCTCGTATTGGTCGCTTCGTAAATACTTCACGCCGTTCACCTCCGTCCACCTGCCACCAGTCGCAACAGCAATATGGACATCTGCTGGCCTACCTTAACGGCCTATACGCGAAAAACCATCTCGTATTGCACTGCTCAGCAGCATGCCTTCACCAGCCCTTCAGGAATCTGTGCAAGTAGAGTGCCCTCTTGATCCCTCCTGAACTCTGAAGTTGCGCCATCTAGCGTGCTGATAAGCCACTGATCTGGCACAGAATACGCGAGCACTTGCGTTCCCGTGGCACCTGGGTCACGAGATTCTGCAGTATTCTTTGGTTTTGGTGCACTTCCGCACAAACTGAAGCTTCGTTGGCCAACTTCGTCAGGCAGTTATCAAGGAAAACTAACTGCGGCCATCAGTGCTGACCACCCAGGCCGTGCTGAGCGAGCCGTCCACGGCTGCCTCCAGAGTGCATAAAATCAGTGGCCATTTCGGATGTCCCTGATTTGTGCCCGACCTCGAAGCTCACTGTGGAGCCGTTCCAGCGACCGGGAACCGACACATTCAAAGGATCTCCAGCACAGTCCTGCGCCGGGGAAATCCGAGTCCGGGCGCCGCGCGGAGGCGCTGGGCACGCCGATACTGTAGGAACTGGGCTTGTAGAGGTTTAGGAAACACTACTTCTCTGCCCATCCTGGAAGCTGACCTCCGCAATGACTGCCTCGCAGAGTCTGGGGCATTGGAGCAAAGTCAGGAAAACTTCCACCCCTCCACTTGGCAAGGTGGCCTCTGAGTCTGGAAACTCCGTCAGCTCCAGCTGGAGGTGCCCAATGGTCTGCACCAGGACCTCCAAGGAGCCTCAGGGCGCGGCAGGCAAGGGCGACATCCCGGCTATCAGACTCTGGCTCCTTCCCCCCGCCTGCCCGCTCTTGAAAGTCCAAGCTGTTTGCGCAGCTTGCCAAGGCTGAGCACCAACAAAGCTGATAGCCTCGATCCGGGATCGGAAGATTCATGGATGACAAATGGTTGCCCCTGACCATCTGGCCACGTGGCTCCCAGGAAGGAGCTGCAAGGGCGACCACGACAAGTCCTGGACGATCCCACCACCGCCTTCAGAACCGCCATCGCAGACTCCAGGGGCTGCTTGGTTTGCAACACGCATCCCGCCTTCGTCGTGAACGTGCTCTGTGGTGTTGAATGCAAAACCAGACAAAGAAGCACCTGAGAAGGCCGTGGTGTTTTGCTGCTCCTGCCTAACATCTTCGTGAAACTGCTTCGCTCACTGCTTTGTGCGCCTGGAAACTCACCGCTGCTGCCACAAGTGCCTGTTGCTGGCTGCAGCAACACCTGATCACCATCATGCAATGGGAACCCGACCTTGGTAGCAACAGAACTCACGGTTTGCCATCACACCGGAACAGCTCAAAGCCAGGGGGCTAGATGTTCCACCTCACACGGCTGGCCAACGAAACAACTGCGCTTGTTCTCTGCAAAGCCCACAACCGTCAGCATCCCAACTTCGATTTTGAATCGCTCGGCCCTGTCACACGGAAGAGTTTCATGGGCCTGGCGGGAGCACCAGCACATTTTGTATTTGCCACCTGTCAAAATGGGATCGGAGCCCCAGGTGAACGTGGCACCGTTGTCTGTCGCAGGCAGGGAACGCCCGAAGTCCGGGAATCCAAGGATGCCACGCGTTGCGAAGTCCATGAGAGTCGTTTCAGTGTCGGTGAGGCCCGTTCCTGTGCGACAGCTCTCCAGTAGCATGAGCCTGTCGCCATCTTCCAAGAAGCTGCCGGTGATGTTGTAGATGGTACAGCTTTGGGAGCTGACACAGGTCCGATCTTGCCCCGAACGGGGGCCGGCAATTGTGATGGCTCCTGCATCGATCGCAAAGCCGAGAGGGGAGCTGCAGTCAGAACCAGAACCTCCCCCACACCAGCACAGCCGATATGCGCCATTCGGAGCACGCACCTCTTCAGGACCGAAACTGATGGTCAAGTTGTTGTACTGGAGCCTCTCACCCAAGTAGTCCGACTGTGTAGCCTTGCTCGAGCGCTGCGATCCGGGTACTACGCAATAGTCCGGGTCGGTGCAGGCAGTAAAACCGGAAGCTTGGGCGCAGGTGCTCATGATCTGGACCAGATCTCCGTCCTGAAGATTCACGCCCTGGAGCTCGCTCAAGCTGCAGCGCTCATAGGTTGCACAGGCGAAAGCCTGGAAGCCCACGGGGGCTCGCACCACCACGCTCCCAATGTCTGCATTGAAGTTCTCCGCAACAGCGCCTTAGCTGAGGCTGCAAGCACTTTGCGCAGGGTAGCCGGCGTCGAAAAACGGACAATGAGCTGAATGCTGCCGTCTGGCAGGACCGCCCGGCTTGGCACCAACAAAGCCGGTATTCGCCCCCTTTCCTCACACAAACATATCCGTTTTGCGAACTCTGCACACATGAGTCTGCTTGGTGTCGTTTGCAGTTTCGCCTCTCGCCTATCGCGTCTGCATTCAGCCAGAGGCGCGCAGTGACGAATTCCTCGCCAGTCCCCCAGATGAAGGCGGAGCCCTGCATCATTAAACTGGGGTGTCTGCTTGCGCTGTCCGCACAGATCTGCTGGAAACCTCATGCTAAAGCGAACCTCCTCGCTGGCGGGGTTGGAGACACCTCCGTTGGGGAATCCATCCACCATCGCACCAGGAACGCCACCTCAACTTCTACGCGAGAATCGCACTAGCCTTGACGTGACGAGGCCTGGATGCTGCAGCAAGCCCGTGGCCGTGTTAGTACTCGTCACTCCAATGCACGTGACAGGTTTCTGGTTCTCCATTTCAGGCAAGGAACACGTCTCGAGAACCATCAATGTGTCACCGTCTTGAAGTCCTTAGTGCAGGATGTGACTTATTTATCTTATTGCAGCTCAAGCTGTGGAACCACTGCATACCGGCATACTGCATTTAGCAGCAGCTGGGCGGCCCAATCCAGCAAGATCGGTGATGTTGTAGACGGTGCCTCCGACCACATCGCGGTTTTGGTCTGCACACTGACCGGGTGTGCTGATGTCACAGGAGACATAAGGCCCAACAACGCTCAGTTGGCCAATGTCCAGGCCAAAAGCGCTCGGAGTGTTGCACTCATACCCCTTGGGACACCAACAGAGGCGGTACTCTCCACCTGCCAGTATGGCACCATTGAAGGCCCCCTGTGTGCCCCAGCTGAACATTGATCCGTGCTGCTCGGCCTCTAAGGAAACTCCTCTAGCCCGTCCGGGCACCTCTGGAAACCCCACAGCACCAGTTGCTCCTGCAAGCTCCGAGCAGGACACCATTGCCATCAAGCGGTCGCCGTTGGAAAGCCCGACTCCGCGAAAAGATGCGACCTCTCCAGCCTCGCCACAGGCCTGGCCAACATGGCACGTCCGCGAGTTCCCAAGGAAGGGGCCCTTCACTATGAGTATCCCGGCGGGAATCGCAAAGTTGACTTCGTCGGAACATCCCCGCGATGAAGGACACCAGCAAAGCTGGTAGTGGCCCGGCAAAGCCAACACCGGTTCGGGTCCGAAGCTGAAGTCAGCTGCATCCGTAGCAGGCTGTGACACACCGTTTTGCGGCATCCCACGTGCTGCCATCGACCATCCTCCGGACGAAGTACCTCGCCCGCAAGGTGCGCCTTTCATGCGCATCACAGCGAGGCGGTCTCCAGCTGACAAGGCATAGTTTGAGGCTCCCAGGCCTGTCAGGTTCTTTAACTGGCAAGGTGCTCCGTAGACACAGACTCCTGCCAGGTTTCGCAGCGAGATCAGCTGTCGAACCTGATGGCTGCCCTCGTCCGCTATGTAGAGGTCCCTCCACTGCAGCTTGGATTCAGTTTCAGCCACGTCTATGGGAGCCACAGGGAGTGGCGGAAACACCATCTGCGCTGGTGATCGCAGAGTCACACCATCACGGAAAGGCGTCGTGGTTGGCAGTGCTGCGTAGCCTCCAACCCGTAATGGTGAGATCACCCCATTGCCCACGTAGCCATCAATGATTCCTGTCGAAGGGTCTATTCGCCGGATTCGGTTGTTGCCCCTGTCGGACACGAACACATAGCCCATAGTATCCACAGCAACATGCGCGCGATCCAGATTCAGTCTCGCTACTGTTGCGAGCCCTCCATCACCTGTGTCACCGGACAGCCCCAAACCAGCAAAGGTATCGATGATGCCTGTCGCATTGGTCACCCGCCGAATCCTTGAGTTTCCCTGATCGGCAATGTACAAGTCATCTGTTCGAGGATCAAACGCAAGTCCAACCACATGCCGAAACTGTGCACTTGCTGCTGGACCACCATCGCCGCCGAAACCGTAAACACCATTTCCGGCATAAGTGCTTATCTGCGGTGTTGTGGTGTATACGATTGGGGTAGTGTTGCTGAGCACGACCACTCTGGAGTTCATGGCTACTTTGCGTACTCGGCCATTTAGCATGTCGGCAACGTAGAGGTCACCGAGGCTGTCCACTGCCAGTGCTACCGGCCCATTGAGCATGGCCACGCTCGCAGCACCGCCATCCCCAGCGTATCCAGGGACCGAGTCCTGCCCTGCGACGAGGGACAGCATGCCGGCTGCAGAGTAGGGGTACGCATCTGTGGAATTTTGCGTGGGCACAACCCAAACCGCGGATGTGATGGCAAGGCCAGCACCTGTAAATCGTGCTTCTGCGATGAAGAGCCGACCGCTTTGATCAACCGCCAGAGCCACCGGCTCCAACGGTACTGTTTCAGCTGGGAGCGGCAAGCTGGACCACGCCCTCGATGTCGTGGGTACGGCACCAGCGCCAGCGAAGGCACTGACAGTGCCCGGTGGCGTGACAACCCGCACTCTACGCTCCCCGGTGTCAGCAATGAAAACGTTGCCCTCCATGTCCACGGCAACACCTGGCCGAGGGTCACAGGATCCAACATGCAGTCCCTGCCCCTCTGCCTCTTCCCTGGCCTTGCGGGCTGTCCAGCTGCGCGGCAGTTGCAGAACCCCCGTCACCACAGCCGGAACTTGTACAGGCAACGCCTGTGCCTGCCAGAGTCTGCACAGCTCTTGGAGCATTCCTTGGCTGGTGCTTGGGAGGTTTTGGGACCCACACCATCTGTTTGCTTGTAGAACCTGCACTTCCCTACGAGCCCGAACCTGCAACTTCAGGGAGTTTTATGTCGGGACTTCTGTGCAGAAGCGTTTCTTGCGAAACCTGGGGGAATTCTCTCAGTGCGGAAGAGTCGCGGCTCCCCGTCCGATCTCACACCCAAACCTGGCCGTGCTCACGGAGTCGTGGAGCATCACATCTAGCCGATCTAGCGAACCTATGTAACTTGATGTGAACCCAATGTTTGGGCACTCCACAAGAGTGCAGTTCAGGCTTTGAACCCGTTGACACCACAAGGTTGAACCTGCCTTCAGTCACGGCCCAGGTCTGGGAAGCTTTGCTTGGATCGCATGCTGCTAGCACCTCGCAGGACAGTAGAGGCAAGGTGGCACAGCGACAAGCATGCATCTTTTAACAACATGTCTCAGAGCCGTGCCAGCGTCACATCCCAGTCAGACGCATCCACACACGCACCCTGCAGCCGGAGCATGAACCTTTGCCAGTGCGATGTGTCGGCTTTACGCTGCTAGCTAGCCTCAGTTACGGGGCAATAGGAGGGACCCCTAGAAGGGACCCCTAATCCTAATACCCTAATATAACCCTTATATACCCCTTATTTAGTCTCATAAAGCCCGTGTAAAACCCCAAGGGTCCCTGTAAGGGTCTCTCCTTTAGTCCCTTGACTCACGATCCAGACAGACCGTACATACGGGAATAGATCCTGACTGGAGGCGGGTCCTCCGGTGGCTGCTGGCCGGTGATCCTAAGAAGCTTGACATGCTGCGTCCGTTTTGAGCACTGGGGTTCCAGATCAGAAATTCGGGGATCTACATTGTGGTCACGGCGGCGGTCCTGAACTGCTGGCGCTCGTCAAAAGCGTCGCAAAGTGAAACCCTGACTCGATCGCCACTGCCAATCACGCCGTCACCTTCAGGCTCGCGATCCACCAAACTCAGCTGCCCCTCATCACCTCATGCGGAAGGTGGTCCGGCCTGAGAAGTCGTAGGCCTGCCAGCACAGATCCGTGTCCAGGCTCCGGATCGTCTGGTCACTGAGGACCCATCGCTGCCCTTGGCATCCGCCGGTCGTTACGACACGGTCTGCGCTCGCGGACTGTTGATGAACTCCCACCCACTTTTGAAAAAACTCCCACCCTCACCCACCCGAATTCGCCACAGAAGCACCGAACAAGCCACGAGCCCTGAGTGGCTTTCTTACTTGCCTCGCCTGCAACCCGAGAGCACTCAGGCTTAGCACCGTAGTGCAGCTTGCTGCCCGGGGGCCGCTTCCGACACAGCTGCCCAAGGCCACATCGTGGTGTATACCGTCCTGGGTGTAGTCACCCACTTAGGGTTGCTAAGCGTCCGCATGTCAATGCGATTTCCTGTCTTTAATTCTCCGCCAGGAAGCAGCCGGGATTGTCGCACAAATCCTAGGAAGCCGCAGCATGCATCAAGTCAGCATCCGCCGCATCCGCACTTGTGGCTGATGGCTAGTAGCAGGAACGGCTGCAACAGTCGCGGAAGCCAGGGCACGGCAGCACGTCGCCCACCCCGGTGGCAAAGCCTCCGGCAGTGGAAGCGCAAGCCTCGTCCTGGCAGGAGACCTGCAGAAGTCACTTCAGGGGACAGGCGAACCTGCGCGTTGACTGCGCAAGTGTCTCAGGCGCCTGGATGAAGTACACTCCGCCATCCCGGAAGAGGGGCGCCTGACAGTGGAAGCCAAGGTTTATGGCTTCAGCCGCCACAGCGTGTTGTTTGTTGATAGCGCCGTAGCCCCTTAGCCAAGACCAAGCGTGTGAGTCTGCATGTGTCTACACATGTCAAAATCTACCTGGTGCAGAGCCTTCCTGCCAACCATCTTGCAAGTTCCGACTCACGCCCTGCGATCCAGCTGGCCCAAATCGCCTCTATCTGAGAGATCTTTTCCATGGAATGGCCACCTGAACCCAAAGCGATCGACATTACTTCCTTTCCTGTTCCATCTGAGGTGCTTGTGGCAAGTGACTTTGCGGCCCAATCAGTGATATCAGTGATGTTTGCGTTAATGCACAGAGTCTATTGCAAGATTGTAGTTTTTGGACTGAGGAAAGGAAGACCAAACAAGCCGAGTTGCTGTAGACTTTGCCTCCATGGAGGATAAAGGCATCAGCATGGCCATCGTCGGTGGCACTGTTGATGCTTAAGCCGTCCTGGACGAACCAAGTGAGGCACACAAGGTTGAAGCAAACACCGAGCCGGCAACACGCTTGCTAGAATCCATGCACTCGAAATGTGGCGGCCAGCGGCAAAGAGTAGAGCTCCGCGCCGCTGCGCATCTCGGAAGCGGAGTCGCACGACCCGCTGGAAGCCAGGAACGCTTGAGGAGACCTCGGCTCGAAGGCTCAGAATCAGGGCTCGGAGTTTGACGGGACAGGGCTGACGCACAGGTCATGCAGACAAATGGGCACTGGATGCTGCCAGGGTTCAAAAATACTAGCCCCATCGGATAGGATAGCCTGCAGGCTGATAACTCCAGGCAGAAGCTGGTGTCGAAAATGCGTCATCCATTTCAAGGTTGTCCGGCTATTGCTTTCCAAATCAACTATCAAAAGAGACGGGTGTCGAGCTGGAATTGTCCTCAACTGATGAAACCATGAATCCTCGACTCGAAAGGCCCTGAAGATCCAAGGGGTCCTTGACGTCGCCCTCCAGGCCCTCGAAGAGCAGCTCGGCGCTGTCGAGGGCCATCTTCTCTGTGCTGACCTTCACCACATAGGCAGAAGATCCTGTCAGCCCACGCCCGCTCTTCAGGGTTTCTTGCAAGTGTTGCTCTTGCACTGCTGATTGTTGCTGTTAGCTGCTAGCTGTTGCTGCTGTTCTTGTCAAGAGTTCTTCGTGGCCTTGCTTGTGTTGACGTTCCCTTGCTACTGCTACTGCTGCTCCTCCCTCCTACCACGACGACGACGGCAAAACAGCCGGCCGTCCTGCCAGAAACAAGTAGCCGCCAGCAACCGTCACTGCCGCAATGGTAGGTATCCTCAGCCGGCAACGGCAACTCGTGAATCTCAACCAGCCTGCAAGGGATGGGCACAGAAAACGCTTTCCCATGTTCGCTAACTCACACCCTGCATCACCCTGCATTGAAAGCGTCGTGGCGTACGGCAGGACTGCGGCAAAGGAAGCGATGAGACTCAGATCCTCCTTTCGAAGCCTCGGATGCAAAGGCCGAAGGCCGCTCTCTTCCTCCCTTTCGGCCTGGCTGCGTGGTACAAGTCTGCCGAGTGCAACCACAATGCTTTAAGACCAGGCCCACTGAGGCATCGAGCTCCTCCAAAACAAGGCAGGAGATGGCAGTGTGGGGCATTCTACGAAACTCAGCGATTGCTTCTCCCTTCTGCGCCTGCCCTGCTGCATAGAGATGGCCCTCGTCCGCAGCCAAGGCAGCCAGCAAGCGCGCGCTCACAGCACTGCGCTGTACCCGCGAGACGAGCTCGAAATCTGACGGGCTGTAGGCTGCGCTGAGCTTCCGCGTATCTCCGTACTCGAACTTCAAGACCACTGCGGGATCTCAGCTGCGAAGATTGGGCAACAAACCGCAAAGAAAATCATGCAGGGAACGCTGGGAATTTGCTGGCTCCCCTGACAAAGCGAGACAGAAAGACAAAGGCAGTGTTGTCAGGAGAGACACAAAGTACACGACATAGATAGTTGCCCACGGCGGGGCACATGACATGAAAGTCTTTGATACTTCAACAGATCGATTCAAACAGAAATAACCTTTAACACGCTCTGCAGCCCGGCGGCCAGTCTCGAGTCCGAAGTAGGCGTAGTCCGCATCGCTCGTTCCACACTCAACGAAGTCGTCACCGACATCCAAGGTGATGGCACCCACCTGAGGGGGTTTCGGCATTCGCATCCGGGCAATTCGACGCAAGGATCCCGAGTCGAAGTCGGCGCGGGTTGATTGATGTCTGCATCTCACACGTTTCAACTCTACACCCCAAATCTGCAAACATCGCGGTCACCAAATCAGATGCAAAACTGTTCCCACAATCGCAACTCCGAGCTTTCGAATTTTTCCCACTTGCCCAACTGACTGGAGTCGCGCCGCAGGGAATATCAATCGGAACTGAAGATTGTTGATGCAAGTCCGAGATGTCCTATCCTGAGAAAGCGTGTGCCCAACCAAGCTTAAAGACCCCTTCAGAAAGAGAGGAGAGCAAGGACGAGGACGCCGAAATCGCTTTCTGGAAAAGACCAGTACCAAGGGACCACGACTAGCCCGAACAACCCAAAATACCTCGAGGTTAAAGCTCTGCAAAGGCTCGAAGCAATCACTGCAGCCCATGCCCGCCTTTTCGAAGAGTGGAATCCGGAACTGCAGAATCTGGCCTGCCACGTATGAAGCTGCCGGCTGAGACACGTCTACATATCTAGTACACGTGCACGACGTGTGCCCGACGGCGGGCCTGGGGATGTGCGGAGGCCGAAGAGGACAAACTCGCCGCTTGTCACTGCCACCCGCGGTGTCAGCTCGCCAGCAGCAAGGGTCACTACGCTGTGGACGCTCACGTCGCTGAGCCTTTAAAATTGAAGCTGGGGGCTGGGAGTGCGTCGACTTGGTGGATACCAAGACTGAAGATGCAATTGGGCTGCAGGAACTTGACCAGCTTCCCGGCAGAGATCGCTGGAGAGGTGGCAGAGCCTGTCTCTGGCGCTACTCCTTCTTGTGTTCGTCACGTTGTAGACACAGGGTTCTTGTGTTGATGGCGGGGGTCGAGATGATGGTTGCTTAGCGTCACAATTATTGGGATGCCCCTGGAGCCACTGTACAAAAGCCAATCTCGCAGATTCTCCCTTGCAAGAGAGAGAGAGAGAGAGAG